TATGTAGCGGATCTCACACCTCGTAGAAGCACCCAAACCCAACCCCAACCCCAACCCCAAACCCAAACCCAAACCCCAAACCCAACCCCAAACCCAACCCCAAACCCAAACCCAAACCCAACCCTAACTCTTCCCAAATTTATTTTAACATATTCTAGGTTAAAGCCAACATTTATTTAAAATTTAATCTTTATGTTGTTATTTCAGTTGTTTATTTGGGCAAAGATTCTTTTAATTTCTTTGAAACCATTTGTTGAAATATCTTTGTTGGAACAGTATGACTTTTCAATCCATGTTCATATTGGCATTCAACACACAATCTCCTTTAAAATTGACACTAATGAGGTGCAGTACACACAAGTAATACTGGACTGTCAATATGATAAGTACAATTCATTCTCTTTTAAAAATAATATTGAATTTCTATTACTTTATTTCAAAATTTATAAATATAAAACAAATTATTCTTAATTTGAGAGAAGCCTTTTGTTTGAATTGACTCAATAAAATAAAATACAAAACTCCATTCAAGACAGATAATTACATATTTTCCACTTTTCAAGCAAATCATTGCATCATTTTTTTTATATTCCTTTGAGCAGAGTTTCTAAATTGTTTGATTTATTTTTTCTATTCAAAGTCAGAATACCAAAGTAAATCAGCTAATTTTATGAAATTAATTTTTTAGAAGCTAACTTGTATTTAAATGACAATTTTGTAATTTAAACTTTAAATCAAACTTTTGAATCATTAATAAACTCTCTACAGGATATTAAAATTCTTGACTTTATTTCATAAATTTAAGGCTCAAGCCATTGAAATAGAAAAGTGATAAAAGGAATTAAAAATTTTTTTTTTTGATTGATTATCAAATTTGTATTCCAAATTTTTTTACATATATCTATACATCTACAACTTACACCCCCTCTAATCTATCTTTCAAAACCTCCCGTTTTTCACACCTAGGCACAGAGCAAAGTCATCTGAGGCATAATAACTAGGTCTTAGATAGATTTTTTTGAGCATTTTTCTCATTTTACACAAATTTAGACAATTTTTTTTCTCAACGAAAATTACTTACTCTCTTTCTCTCTCAAAAAATTTTTCTATCAAAAAATTACAAATACATAGAAAAAAAATTCAAATATTATAATTAAGTTTTACATCTTACAAATTTCCTTAGAAATTATTAAGTTTAATTTATTCAAAATAATTTAAAATATAAGTTTAATTGCTAACTCTATATTTTACAAATAAAATACATTTTAATTGATATTACATCTGATTTGAGATTTGAATTGTTAAATCTCATCCATTATGCAATTATTAATAATCATATTTTTTTATTAGCTATATTTTTATTATAAAATTGGTTTACATAAAGAATAATTATTTCAATAATATTTATAAATTAAATATGGAATTTTGTGAGAATTACCAAAAATTTTAGGCAAGTATCTAAACATTTAAAATCTAAGCCTTAATTATTATGTTTAAGTAGAATTAAAATCTTACTTAATAAATAAGATTAATTTTTCAAAAGAAAGCAATTGGTAGAGCAGCAAATTTCAAAAAATTGAATATGAGAATGTTTAATAAAAAGTGGAATTGTACTAAAGGGTAAACATAGAGAATACAAAATAGGGAGTAAAATTAAAAGATAAAGGAAAAAGAAAAATGAGTTAATAACTGAAACAAAACTAGTAAATGAAAAATTAAAATGCATTGCAAGAAACTTCTTCAGCAATATATAAACTCAAAAATAACACATCTTTTCTTGAATCAGCAATTTAGTAAAAAATCGAAGATTTCTAAAATAATATTAATAATTTCTAAGTGGATATGATGTAAGATTATGATATATAAAATGAAGTAGACGTTAGTAATTATTTGAACAGAGGTATATAATATAGGTGAATTAATAGCTATTGTTCTATTATAAATGAATAGATTTGAAGAAGCTTTGGAAAATTTTTATTCTGCAATTCATAAAAATCCAGAAAATTCTGACTTTTATAAAGGCAAAGGTAAAATTTCCTTC